TCAGCAGAAATTCCTACTGGGCGGGAGGAGTGGGGGAGGTATGGCGGAGTGGTGGGGGGTGGCCCAAGGGGGTGGGAGAGGGTCCATTCCATGCTGTGCCTGGGCTGGGACTGGTCCCGCTGGCGCAGGGTAGCAGGAAGCTCTCCACGTACTCACCGGACCTGGCCTAGGACTGACTTTGACTTCTTTAGTTAGATTAATTCCAATGTTTTTGCTTTCCTCGGTGCTATTGTGAAAGTATTGTTTCTCTAATTTCCCTCTCAGTGTGTTTTATGTCTGCTCAGAGGATTGATATTAACGTTTTGGTATTGACTTTATAAACTGCCATTCTACTGAATTTCTGTATTAATTTTAGTAACTTCTTGTGGAATTTTTTTGGATCTTCCAAGTAAAGTATCATGTCATCTGCAAATGATGATAATTTAACTTCTTCTTCACCTATTCTTATTCCTTTTATTTCTTTCTGTTGTCTAATTGCTGTAGCTAATGATTTCAGAACTATATTGAATAGGAGTGGTGATAGAGGACATCCTTGTCTTGTACCAGATCTAAGAGTAAAAGATTTCAGTTTTTCCCCATTTAGGATTATGTTAGCTGTTGGGTTTTCATAAACAGCTTTTTTCAGGTTGAAGTAGAGGCCATCTTTCCAATTTTCTGTAGGACTTTGAAGATGAATGAGTGTTGCACTTTGTTGAAAGCCTTTTCTGCATCAATGGAGATGATCATGTGGTTTTTAGTTTTTGCTGTATTGATATAGTATATTATATTTATAGATTTTTGAATATATGTCCTTGAACCATCCTTGTATCCCTGGGATATTTCCTACCTGGTCATGGTGTATGATTTTCTTGATGATTTGCTATATTCTATTTGCTAGGATTTTATTGAGGAGTTTTGCATCTATGTTCATGAGGGAGATTGGCCTGTACTTCTTTCTTAATTTATCTTTCCCTGGTTTTTAATCAGTATAATACTTGCCCCCAGGAATGATTTTGGGAGGATTGCTTCCTTTTCTATTTCATTGAAGAGTTTGAGGAGTATAGTGACTGCATCTTCTGTACATTTTTTGTAGAATTCACCTGTGAATACATCCAGACCTGGACTTTTCTTTGTCGGTAGGCTTTGAATTACATCTTATATTTCATTAGCTGTTATTAGGCTATTGAGAGTGGTTATATTTTGTCGATTCAGTTATGTTGATTTGTACTTTTCCAGGAATCTGTCAATTTAGTGTCTCATCAGACACTTAATCTCCTGGAAGTGAAAGTAGGAGGAATTCTTGAAGACATTGGGTAGGCAAAGTGTTCATCAACAAAAATCAAATCGCACAGAAACTGTTGAAAAAATTCACAAATGAGACCTGCTCTTACTGAGAAGTTTTTTCATGTCAAAAGGAATTACCAACAAAGAGAAAAGACAACCCACAAATTTGGAAAAAATCATGACAAATTAGTAAGCATGTGTCTTCTATTCTGTGAGAGTAATGATTCTCAAAGTAGCTATTGATAATCTTCTGAATTTCCACTGAGTCTGTGTAATTACACCTTTTTCATTCCTTATTGCTTGTATTTGAATTTTTTCTTTCCTCATTTTGATTAGCTTAGCTAGGGGTTTATTGATTTCATGTAATCTTTCAAAGAACCAGCTTTTTGCTTTTTTAATTCTTTGAATTGTTTTCTTCATCTCAACTGAATTAATTTCTGCTCTAATTTTTATGATTTTTTTTCTGTCTTTGAACTCTGGGTTTGGGTTGCTCTTCCTTTTCTAGTTGTTGAAGGTGCAGCATTAGGGTATTTATTTGTTCCCATTCTGTTTTCCTAATGTTTGAGTTCACAGCTATAAAATTCCCTCTGAGAACTGCTTTCATCATATCCCATAAACTCTGATAAGTTGTGCTTGAATTTTCATTGAATTGTAGATATTGTTGAATTTCTTGTTTAATTTCATCTTTGACCCATTGGTTGATGAGTAGGGTGTCCTTTAATTTCCATGTATTTAGGGATTTTTCTGGCTTCTTTTCTCATTTATTTCCAGTTTCATTGCACTGTAGTCAGATAATGTGCATGGGATAATTTCTGTTTTCTTACATATACTTAAGCATGACCTATGGATGAGTATATGGTTTATTTTAGAAAATGAGCCATGTGTAGCTGAGAAAAATATGTATTCAGCTGTGTTTGGTTGGAACACTCTGTTTACGTCCACCAAGTCCATATTTTTCAAGCTCTGGTTCAGTTCTGTTATTTATTTGCTATTTTCTTTGTCTGGTTGACCTATCTTTTTGGGATAAGAAGGTGTTAAGGTTACCTGTTAAGATTGTGGTATTGGATATTAGATATTTCATGTCCATTAAGATTTGCTTTGTATAGTTTGGTGCTCCTGTGTTTGGTGTTTACATAGTTATGAGTGTTACCTCTTCCTCTTGAATTTTCCCCCTAACCTGTATATAGTGGCCTGCTTTATATTGCTTGATCATTGTTGGTTGAAGTTGAGACTGTCTGAGAATAGGATTGCCACTCCTGCTATTTTCTGAGGTGATGGGTCATGTGATATTGTGTTCTATCCTTTGACTTTCAGCCTATGGGTGTCTTTATGTGCTAAATGTGTTTCTTTTATACAGCATATTGTTGGATTTTGTTTCCTAATCCACTGTGCCAGTCTATTCCTCTTAATTGGTAAACTGAGTTTGTTTATATTGATGGTAATAATTGAGATGTATTATTTCATGATTGATATATTATTTTTCCTGTTGTCATTTACTTCTTTTTCTCCTGTGTTTAACTGTTTGCTCTATTTAGTTCGTTGCTTCTGATCTCATTCATGGAGTTCTGATCATTTTGATGCCGCTCTAGATCATCTTTCAGGAGTCTATGTAGGGTTGGTCTTGTCATAATGAAATTCTCTAGTTGTTCTTTGTCATGGAAGTATTTCACTTCTCTATCAAACTTGAAAGAGAGTTTGGCAGGGTATGGTAGTCTGGGCTGGAATTTGTTTTTACAGAGGACTTGATTTACTCTGCTCTATGCTCTTCTTGCCTTCATGGTGTGTGAAGAGAAGTCGGCCATAATTCTCACGGGTTTTCCTTTGAATGTGATCTGCTTCTTTTCTCTTGTGGCTTTCAGTATATTATTCTTGTGCTCCACATCTGGGATATTGACTATTATAAGTCTCGGTGAGTTTTTAATTGGGTTGAGCTTACTTGGCATTTTGTATGCTTGGTTACCTGAATGTCAGATTGTTTCCTTATATTTGGGAAGTTTTCTGCTATTTCTTCTGCCCATATATTTTTTTAAATGTCATTTGTATTGACTCCTTCTTTCTCAGTGATACGTATGAGTGTCAATTTGTTCATCTTTGCATCATCGTGTGAGTGATGAATTATTTATTCTTCATCCTAGTTGTTTTTCAGAGATCTTTTCTTACCTTTTTACTAGCTGCACCAGCATCTTCAAGATCTGAAACTCTGTCTTCACTTTCACTGAAATGATTTTGCAAGCTTGTGATTGACATATTAAGTTTTTCTATATCTCTTTGAGTCTGCTTCCTGCGAACTCTTTCTTCCTTGAATTGCTCAATCAAGGAATCCATCATTTTTCTAATCTTCTCCTGTTTTCCTTTTTAATCAATGTCTTCTTTAGAAGCAGTTATTAATTCTTTTACTGCAGATTGGTTTTTCAGTTTGGGTTTCCTCCCTATTTTTCTGTATTTGATTCTTTACTTCAGATTCCATGAGTTCAGAGAATTCTTTTTTTTATTTCAGAAAAGAATTCTGCTCTGAGTTCCTCTACAGCTTTCTGCGGTTGCTTATTTGATTTTGACGCTATTAATTCATACATTACAGCTGAGCTAGTGTCTGCTGCACTTTTTCTGGGTGTCCATTGAGTTTCCTCCATATGATTTTGCACTTGATTCTTTACTGCAGATGCTATTAGTTCAGGGGTTTCTCTTTTCATTTCCAATCTGAGTTCCTCTGTACTTTCCTGCAGTTGTTTATTTCAGAAGCTGTTGATTCATTGATTTCAGCTGTGTGATTCCCAATTTGCTCTGTGTTATTGTCCTCTGTACTTGTTATGGGTGGGCTTGGGGTCTGAGATTGCATTTTACTCCTTCTCGTTGTCATTTTCTATAGCTCTGTCTTCTGACCCTTGTTGTAGAGTTTTGGTGCAGTTATAACCTTAGCACGTACTGAAATTTAGGTGCAGATCTACCAAATTTGAATTTATCCTGCTGTGCTTGGCCTGTGTCTGGCTGCTGTGCACAGATGCTTCATGCTGCCACTCATGGAGTGAACCTGTTGTGCCCCTCTGGCAAGATGTTCTGCTCCTGGACTAGCTGGGTGGTTCTGTCCCCTACTCTCTCAGCAGGGACTGAATCTGCAGAGTTTCACCTCAGGCCTGTATGCCAGGCCTGAGCTGAGTCTGAGGGGCACAAGATGGAGTAGGGAGGAGAGGAAGCTCTCTCCACATGCTTACGGGGCGTGGGCTAGGGCTGGATCTCGGGGTCTGAGAACACAGCAGATGTTTTCACACACTGGGAGGGAGTGTGGGGTGGGGCTTCGGAGTGGTAGTGCGGTTCCAAGGGGTTGGAAGTGGGTCTCACCCATGCTGCGCCTGGGCTTGGACCGGAAATGTCCCGCCACAGCAGGGTTCCCATAATTTCTTCTGTACTTTGAACTTCCTCAACATTTCACAAATATTAACAGATAGTCTAAAACTAGTGTTGAGCACGTTCATGTTTCCTATAGACTACAAGAAGAATCACAACGATGGAAGACATTTTGCCCAAGGCCTGCACTGTGACAAATCACAAGCAAAGAAATAACAAGAAAGAGTACAGGATCCGACATATTGCATTAGTGGTTCTTAAATTCAAGATCCCCCAGCACCAAGATTAAGAAACGACAACCAGAAATAGCATGCTGCATGATTTATTGAAATATGGGCAAAACATCTATGAGTCCAAGGTTCCAATCGTCTAGTTTTCTGAAGGGCATCATCTTCTCATTCACTCTCTGAAACAACAAAGGAAGAACGTTACCGAGGAGGTGTCACATGGCACGAGGTTCAAGATACCTTAATAGTAACACTGAAGAGAGGGAGGGGAGACAGAAACATCTCTCCCTCTGACCTTCTCCTTCCACTTTCTTCCAAATTTCTCCTTGTCAATTCTTCTTGGGCTGTTAGAACATAATGTGCTCTAAATTATTGGGAGCAAAAGTAAGAAGTGAAGATTATTCCTAAACTGTTTAACTTCTTGTTGCTACAAATATTTTGGAAAGATATTTTCAGGAAGAGGAACAACACAACACCTAATTACAATGAAATTGAAACCTATCAAAGTGACAATTCGCATGATTAGATCGATAAAATTACAAGTATAGAATTACAGAACGGAATGGTATGCAACTTGAAAACTACATGAAGAAGCAAGTAAGAAAGATCAGTGGTACAGGAGGAAAAAAGCAAGGTAAGGACAAAGAGTGAGGGACAGAGGGAGAATGGGAGGGAACAGAGGAAAGAAAGAAGAGAAAGGGTAGAGAAACAATAAAAAGAAAAGATAAGTGGGGAGTAGGGAAGCAACAAACAAGGGAGGAGCTTGGAACAAAGAGAGAAAGATAATAGATGTATGAAATTGTGTGAGATGACTTGGACATTTGCTAAGACATATGCTATGCAAAGTGGGCCACAGAGAGCTTGTTATGGCATCATCTGTGGAGAAAATGGGTGATGTGTCTCCGTAGGTATGCAACCATCTCTAAGAGGATGTGAAGGAAAAATTCTGGATTGGGGTGTGGGAGGCAGGATGAAGTGGGCCTTTCACATTTCACGTCCTGCACTTCTCTTCAATTAGCGTAGTTTTCATACTGGACAGAACCTAAGTTGATGTGAGGATTTAAAACTCAGTGTGACGTTGAAAAGCGCAGACTTGAATGTTCTTTGTCAACAGCTTTGGGACTGACAGGGGTGGTGTGAGGTGGACCTGCGCTGTAAGAGTTTAGGTGGAAATAAGACCCTGGAAGTCACTAACTCTGAGAAGGAGGCAGAGGACCAAAGAAATAACACTGACGTAGTGCCTCGGTACACAGCCGCTCACCATGGGCTCAACGGAATTGTAGGCCCCTTGTTGCTGAAAATCAGTTTTGGCACTAGAGCTTTTTCAGACTTAAGGATCACGCTATTGTAATGCAGAATATCTAAATGGCATCACAGAACGTCTGGTTTTGCTGACCATACAGCCTGAACTGGATGCCAGATGAGTGGTCATCCTACAAATCCTTCCAAAGTACTGGAATGTGGGTCACTGGTGAAGAGTGAGAATAAATCCCACCCAGTACCGGCCTCTGACCATGAAGCTGAGGACATGCGTGGGGTGTCTGTGTGGTTTATTGATTTCTGAAGTGGTTCAAGATCCCTAGGCCTTTCAATGGGCAAGGAGGAAAAGCACAGGTAACTACCTTCTGACTGAGGTGGTCCCTGCTGGTTTCCAGGAGGAGGATGGCCGTTTGGTTTCTGTGGGCCTCCTTGTTGGGGTGGTCCCTGCTGGTTTCCTGGACGAGGAGGGCCAGGTGGTTTTTGTGGGCCTCCTTGTTGGGGTGGTCCTTGTTTATTTAAGGATCGAGAAGGGCGATTCTGTTGCTGGCCTCCTTGTTGGGGTGGTCCCTGCTGGTTTCCTGGAGCAGGAGGACCATTGGGTTGCTGCTGGCCTCCTTGTGGGGGTGGACCCTGCTGGTTTCCTGGTCGAGGAGGGCCAGGTGGTTTTTGTGGGCCTCCTTGCTGGGGTGGTCCTTGTTTATTTAAGGATCGAGAAGGGCGATTCTGCTGCTGGCCTCCTTGTTGGGGTGGTCCCTGCTGGTTTCCTGGAGCAGGAGGACCATTGGGTTGCTGCTGGCCTCCTTGTGGGGGTGGTCCCTGCTGGTTTCCTGGACGAGGGGGGCCGGGTGGTTTTTGTGGGCCTCCTTGCTGGGGTGGTCCTTGTTTATTTAAGGAACGGGAAGGGCGATTCTGTTGCTGGCCTCCTTGTTGGGGTGGGCCCTGCTGGTTTCCAGAAGGAGGTGGTGGACGAGGTTTCTGCTGGGGTGGTCTAGGGGGTTTTCCCTGAGGAGGCCGAGGAGGTGGCTTGGGTGGTGCCTCCTGGGAACCATCACCTTCTTCTTCATCATCACCTTCATCTGCATCATCACCAGGGGTGCTTTCTTGTGGCGGGTCTACTTCCTTAGCAGAGCCCTGACGTTGGTTCTCAAAATCTAAAAGGTCACAGCACAACGGTTGATGAGCTCAGGGTCACATGACTCTCCCATTCCACACACCACACTCAGCCCTCTCCCTCGTGCCCAGTGCCTTTCCCCAAATGGTGGCTCTAGACCCATGCACGAAACATGTGGGTCATGCAGAAAACCTGAGTGATAGCCACCAGGGACTGGAGTTGCTCTCCTTTGGCTAAAAGGAGAACTTGAATTCTTTGAGTGAACAGAGACATTTCTGAGACATGAAGAGTGAAGGAAGTGATAATGAATTGCATTTGTGTTCCTGCTTGTATGTTGGCAGACAATACTGTGTGATTTTTCTGCCAGTGAATGTGTTCAGGACGCCTAAGTGTGTTGTGAAAAGTAGGTGTAGGTGCAGAGTAAGCTAGGTGGAGAAAAGCCTTAGATCCTTCTGATCGAAGGGACAGATAATACCGAGTTCACGGAAAGATGGTGGCCACTTCTTTATCATCTGTGAGGACACAGGTGAGTGCAGAAACGTAGAGAGAAATTCCATAGCCACATATTTTTGGGCATGTCACAGGTGACCATATGGTCTTAAGAAGGAGCACAGGAACTAAGGAGGCCATGCAGTGACTCCCAGTACCATGGAAGAGCTGAGCAGAAAAATGAGCGAGCCCCCACAGTGCTTCGTCAGTCAGTGGTCGCTCTGTGAGTACACAGGGAGCCTCCCTCTGCCCATTGCCTCTGACACTAGTCCTCTCTCTTAACGAACAAGGTTACCTAGCTTCTGCTCCTCAGAATGCCAGCTGTTGAGTTCTTTCTACATTTTTACAGAGGTATGGAGCAATCATCCATTCCCCAACATACAGATAAAGATTCGACACCAGACGCCACAAAAATGCCTTCGGGAAGGAAGTGAGTGAAAGTTGACTGAGGAACAATTTGTTTTTACCTGATATCTGGGAGGAAGACGCTTCATAGATGAGCTCTAGAAAATAAAGCACAGATGAGGTGCACGGTCAGCTGCCACGCTTTGAGAGCTCAAAAATGTCCTACAAGGAAAGGTGGCTTTGAACCGCATCTTCATAGCCCCACGTGAACTCTCTGCAGAGACCAGCCCCTCTCTGGGGTCATATCCTTGGACAGATAAGCAGATGTAACGGGTGGCAGAGAAGGTGCCATGCTGAATCTCAAACACTTGTAAAAAGGACCTGGTAGAAACTTCCTTTTTGTCCTCCCTGGACTCTATCAGCCTTCACTGATAATTCTTTTAAATATTATATTTATTTCAGTATCGTGTAACTCATTGGCTTACTGTTTTCCTTCATTAAGTCCTTTGCTTACTTAAAAATGTTTTACATAAAGTTAAACCAGTACTAGGCTTATGTGAATTTGATTGTGAATCAAATGACATAACCTCAAAATATATTGAAATATTGTATGTGGTTCAGAGAAAATGATCCATGATATTCCTGTATCACAACATCAATACTAAAATTTGCTCTCAAATTCAGGCTCTTTGAATTAACTCTTAGAGATGCTCCATATCTCTGATGAGCCCTGAATCACCCAAGCTGAAAGCCTGCTCTACGCAGCCAGAACTTGGAAATATCCCCACCACTGGGCTTCCCAGTGTCAATCCCCTCATAGTTCCATCCATGCTTCACAGCACAGAACTATTTAACTGCCAACACAAAAGTATTTATTTTTCTGGTCAAAAGTCAAACAGAAGTAAATTTATATTCGTGCTGATATTATTGTAACTTGAATTACATTGTCCTGATAAGGAATACTGACCTCAGTCATCATACCCTTGCCATAAGACCTCCATAGTCCTGCCTCTCCTTTCATTGAATTCTCCTTATGGTACACCCTCACCGCCTTGGAGTGTGTTCTCCTGAACCCCAAGCTGAGTGACCCAGGACCCCATTTCTCATACCTGCACTTGAGCTCTGAATGGAGCTCAAGGCCAGTAGGGCCGCTGTCAGCAGGACCACCAGCATCTTGAAGGAG